ATGTGCAGGTTAACGTCTTCGTATAGCCCCCATATAACGGTACCCCCCGATATTCGGTATTTTGATGATTTTAGCGACATTATTTACCGGTATCATTTCAAATTTGGTATTTGAAGTTCGTAATAGATACTGCAGCATAAAACAGAAAATGGGCCATGTAGGTCCACGTCTTCGTATAGCCCCCATATTCCGTACCACCCGATATTCGATATTTTGATGATTTTATCGACATTATTTACCGGGATTGTTTCAAATTTCGCTTGTGAAGTTCGTAATGGATACTTCAGCCCATGCCAGAAAATTGTCTGTGCAGGTCCACGTCTTCGTATAGCCCCCATATACCGTACCACCCGATATTCGATATTTTGATGATTTTAGCTACATTATAAACAGATTTTTCTTCAAGTTTCGCATTTAAATATTGTAATAAATTATGACAAAATTGCCTATGCAGGTCCACGTCGTCGTATAGGCATTCGGTATTTTTAAGATTTTTACAGAATTTTTAACGGATTTTATCATTTTTATTTTTATTTATTTATTTATTTTTATTTTTTTTTTTTTTTTTTTTTTTTTGGAAATTGCCAAATTTGTACCAAATGGTGGAGGGTATTAAAAGTTCGGCCCGGTCGAACTTACAGCTTTTTACTTGTTTCTACTAAAACAAGATCTACTGTGAAGATGGGATATATCGGTAGATTGACGTATCATAACGCCTAGCACCATATCTTTGCTATTTTAGGAACATCTTGCCAATAGCGAATTTCCTCTTTCACCCGAAAGTCGACAAAATTAGCATTAATTAGTATTATTTCGGTCTATTAAGCTTTCCTGTAGTCTTGTGTTCACAGTTTAAATCAATGACGTAGAGATCGGAGAAACGTCTAAATAATTTGCAAATTTACACATTCGAATATATGCAGACTAACGCTGCTGTTAAATGAACAATTTTTCTCCAGGGAATAATGTGGTTGTTGTTGTTGCTATTGCAAATAAAGAAAAACATTTTCAATTATCTACGCCAGAATAAATACGTGATTCTATATTTACGCCTAACTATACTACTTTGTCCTAAATGCGAAAAGGGGGGCAATAAAGAATTTTTAAATGTTCCTTCCAACGAAATATGTTATTTTAAGAAATGTTTCAGATTTGTATATTTGTAGTCACCGGCAGGTTATTGATTTATTAATTGCCCCGAACGGAAATCCTCTTTTAATAAATCGAACAAAGTTTGGGAAAAAAAGGTCAATGGGGTCTGTTACCTTTTTTTCTCTTTGTGAATATATTTCAAAATTTTTTATTTGAAAATCGCAAAAAATAACAACTGCAACCGCAAATAAAAATAGAAAAAAACAAGCTAAAAGGCAACAAAGTCTATTTTACTTTGAAAGATAGAAGAGACCAGTTATTTCTATGGGGTTTTCATTCGGTTTGGTTTATTTGCAAAATATCAACCAAAACAGTGCAACACACTTTAACACTGAGGCGAAGCCCGAATGGGAGTACTACGCATTGTGCACATGAAAAAGCTTAACAATTTTTGTATCCCAATTCCCAATGGAATTGAGTGGGTTTTTTTTTTCTTTTTTGTGCGAATTCAGACAAACTAGACTATTGAACTAACTAACCAACTAACGCTAGTTCGTTGAAAGACCTATTGGAAATTAGACTAGAGGCAAGTGAATAACAAGAACAAAAAGAACGAAGACAAAACGAAAAAAAAGTATATATTCTTGTTAATTCTGTCTGCCTACATAGACCAATAATTGAAATAGCGGAAAACATACCGGAGAGAAATAAAACAAACAGTGAAAACTCGTAGAAATAGTACAAAGCAAAGCAATTCAGAAGTGAAGAAGTCATTTTAGGTTGAACTAATATTGTCGTTAAAATAAATGAAAATAAAAAAACAATTTTTAAACAATATTAAATGAAGATTTATTAGTATAGTAAACAAGTAAAACAGCTGTAAGTTCGGTGGGGCCAAACTGTGAATACTCTCCACCATTTGGTACAAATTTGGCAAATTTCAAAAAAATAAAATTCGTTCAAAATTCTGTTAAAATCTTAAAAATACCGATTGTAGCCATATATTAGGGTCTATACGGCGACGTGGATCTGCGTAGGCAATTTTTGTCATAAGCTATTACAATATTCAAATGCGAAACTTGAAAAATAATCTGTTAATAATGTAGCTAAAATCATCAAAATACCGAATATAGGGAGGTACCATGGAGGTCATAAAACGTGGACCTGCACAGACAATTTTCTGGCATAGGCGTTAGTATTCATTACGAACTTCAAATAACAAATTTGAAACAATTCAGGTAAATAATGTCGCTAAAATCATCAAAATACCGAATATCGGGAGGTACCTTTATATGGGGGCTATACGAAGACGTGGACCTGGACAGACAATTTTATGTCTTAGGCTGTAGTATCCATTACGAACTTCAAATAGGAAATTTGAAAGAATTGCGATGAATATTGTCGCACAAATCATCAACGTACCGAATATCGGGGGTACCTTTATATGGGAGCTATACCAAAAAACGTGGACCTACATGGCCCATTTTCAATACCAAAAGTCCAGCAGACAATATACATTTGAGTAAAATTGTATCAATCTATTTCATTTCTTTCGGAAGCTAGAATGATTTCCACAGACGGGCGGATACTATGATGGAGGGTATAAAAATTTAAAAATTATTGCGTTTGACCTTTTGCAGTTTTATACCCTCAGCCATATGGCTACAGAGGGTATATATCATTTGATACGGTCAAAACCTGACTAGTCGAAATAACGGGTCCTACGATCTAACCCTAGGTCTCTTTGGACCAAATCCGTTTCAGAACATTTAGAGTCGATCTAGCGATGTCCGTCCGTCCGTCCGTCCGTCCGTCCGTCTGTCAGTCTGGCTGGTTCACACGATAACTCTCGAAGGGAGTATTCGATTTTGCTCCAACTTCGCAAATCATAATATTTGTGTCAGTGCTAGGTCAAGTGTGAAAATGGACAATATCGGTCCACTCTACCAAATACCTAGCCCACAAATGGTCAAAATTTGGAATAATTACAACTCTCATAAAATGTGATGTAAGAGTCCGATTGTCTTCAAGTTTCACACATCCATATATTTATATTAACCCAAGATCTGGTGTTAAGATGGAATATATCGATCCACTCCTTCTAGTATCTCCCCCACAAATGATCGGCATTTTCAAAAAAAATATATTTTTCTGCAGAAAAAAAAAATAATCCGATTTTGCTCCAACTTTGCAAATCCTAATATTTGTGTCAGTTCTAGTTCAGGTGCGAAAATGAATAATATCGGTCCTCTCCATCAAGTCCTTCGGGTACCTCCCCCACCAAGGGTCAAATTTTTGAATAACCAAAACGTTTATAAAATCCGAAATAATCATCAGGTTCTCTTTATATTTCACACATTCCATTATTTTCACTAACAAAAGATCTGTTGTGAAGATGGGATATATCGGTCCACTCCTTCTGGTACCTCCCCCACAAAGGCTCAAAGAAAGATAAATAAGCCTCCAACTCTCCTCAAATTTGCCAAATACAAACTTTATGCTTAATATAATATCTGTTGTGCAGATGATATATATCTATGAACCTCTTCTGGTACCTCATTCACAAAGGGTCACAATTTTCAATACCTCATTCACAAAGGGTCACAATTTTCAATACAATTCAGCGATTATTTACAACTTTCCATATCTAAATATATCTCTCTTTGACAGAAACCTGAGATGAATATGGAATTTATGATTTTACATAAATTGAATATACATGTTCGATTTTCTTCTAATTTAACCCATACCAATATTTTTATCTGTATTGGATGAAGTATGTAAATTGAATACTTCTGTCGACTATATCTGGTAGCACACGCACGTTAACATTTTCTAAAAATTATCATATATGTCATATAAAGTGAAGGAAGTTACCAATATAGTCCAAATCTGGCACGTCGCAATATTTATATTATATTATATTATTTAGGTCCGATATGAAATGGCCAATATTGGCCCATTATTCCAGAACCTACTCAATTAGGGGTTATACATTTGAATAAACCGGACAGATACTCTTTAACTTGTTTGAATCGTTTAAAAGCATTATCCAAGCGGTTTCGTAGTTTAAAGTGGAACACGATTGAATTCAAATTATTTTATATAAGAATCTTTCTTTAACCAATGTTTGAGGGTATTAAAAGTTCGACCCGACCGAACTTATTGTTTTTTTAATTTTTTTTTTTAATTTTGGTCAAGTGGATATCTTACTAAAGATTACCCTGCTGTTAAGATCAAATTACTTTTTTTTCAGAACTTGTGTTAGTTTTTCGTCGTTGGATTTTTTTCCGTAAGTCCCGCAGATTTTTTATCTTCGAGTTTTACACAAAATGAAAGTAGAGTTTAGAACATTTTGAATGGTTATCTGATAATATTAGGGTTCATTAGTTTTTGTGTGAAGTCAGATTAAAAATCTCCACTGTGGAAAAATATAAAAAAATCGGCATTTTTGCATCATGTAGTAGTATCATTTTCAATCAATGAAATGACGTCTAGTCATATTCACATGTTTTGTTCTAAAAAAATAGTTCATAATTCAGAATGTAAACAATTCATATTTATACAAGCAAATTTATCAAAAATCGACATCATCAACAGCGGCAGCAAAACTTGTGGCTCCCTGTGTGATGGTGTGTGTGTGTGACTTTTTTTTTCTATTTGTTGTTTTTACCCAAGTTTCACTGTAACGCTTGTGTTTTTTCTTATTTCTGTACAAAATACAAATCGATCGATAGGAATTATCGAAATCGTTCGCAATGTTGTTTTTTCCATGTTTTATTTTGTGTTACTACTGCTGCTGTTGTTGCTAGTACTTTTGTTGTTGTCGTTGTTGTTGTTATTCTTATTCTAGATGGTTTATTTGAGAAATTGATTTTTTTCACCCTGTTTGTATTTCAATGAGGCAGTGTGCCGTTGAAAGCAAAACATCATCTTTCAGTTTGTTATGGCGCATGAAAACGCGTAAAATAATACAAGAAAATCGCTCGGCTTAAAAATCAAATACAACCGAGAAAATAAAAAAAAACAACAACAAGAAAAATAAAGTGTAGTGGAAAAAAATAACATACGCTTGTTAAAAAATGTGATTAACAGCAAAGAAAAATCAATATCATTCCAAATAAAAAAAGGAGAAGAAATCAAAAAAAAATGACAAAGGAAATTTCTGTTTTTCTGTGTATCAATCAAATGAAATTATTTTGGAATTAAACAAAGAAAGAAATAAAAATCAATTCAAATAAAAATAAAATTCAAATCAAAGCCAATTATTGACAAGCCATTTGTTGGCTGACAAAAATGTGTGTATCTGTGTGCCATTGTCTAATTGTACGGTTTACCTAGCTTCTTTCGGGGCTGAAGTGTTTTTCTTCAAAAATTTTCTTCAACTGCAACAAAATACCATGTCATGTATTGGATGGATGGCTTTACATTTGACGACAATCTAATCAATAATTCATTTTTGAGCGGCGACAGCAATGGCGAATTAAGTGACAATAATCATCGTCTTTCACGCACAGCATCGACCAGCAGCGGAGCCAGAAATCGTTTTAGATCTTCGTCCAATCGCAAATCTCAACATTTAAGAGGATTAGCAGCAACATCGAAAGCAAGTAAGTTTTCTTAATGGCATATATATTTTAGGGAGACAGGGAGAGAGAGAGAGAGAGGTAGAGTGAAAGAGAGAAGGAGAAAGAAACCGAAAAGGAAATATTTACTGGACTGTTGAACTGCAATACACCTTGTTTTTATTTATTTTGCTGCAAAACGCGGATGTTAATGGCGCGCCGGAAAGGAGCCAAAGAGAAAATCTAAGAAAAAAAATTAAAAAAATGAAAATCTAAGAAATCTAAGTAAAAGGAAATTTGGGAAATTGGAAACATAATTAACATTGAAAGGTAAACACCACCCTTGATCATGAAGGCTGAACATTTTATATGGAATATTTCAAGCATTTGCTCTCTTTCAGAAGCTACTGTGTTCTAAAAATATTATTACGATATCCAAGTTTTTTGAACAAGTTGGAAAACTTGGAGACTCCTGCATATTCTGGAACAGAGCTCCACTATAGATATGAATAGCTACAAACATTCGCTTCCAATCTCGAACCAATTTCCGACTTTATTCATCCATATGCCGATCAGTAGTATTTTTCCAAAAATTGTTATACCCTACACTAAATAGTGGTAAGGATATTATGTCTGTGCGCATTTGTTTCTAACATGGATAAGGATGCGGGATAGACCCACTGTTAAATTTTAGGATCTTCATAGAATCACTTTCTAAGTCAATTTATGCATGTCAGTCCGTCAGTCATGTATTTTTGTGAACAAAATACATGTCGCATTCATTATCCTATAGAGATGAAATTTTCTAAACAATATTTGTTTGGCCCAAGGACGACCCCCTATTGAAATTATTGAGAATCGGTTCAGTTTTGAATATAGCTCCCATATATATCTTCAAGAGATTTCCGGTTAATTCTGCACCAAATGGCCTATGAAATGAATTTTGGCACATTCGACCGAATTCAGTCTAGAAGCAAGTACGTAAAATTTCGAGAAAATCGTTTCAGATATAGCTATAGCTCCTATATATAAGTTTCATCCAATTAGAGGTTTTAAGTCCCTTACATGCGGAACATGCACTCAACAAAAATTATATTTGGTACCAAATAACTTATGGACCTCGAAAATATCTCCGTCAAATTTTATCGAGATCGGTCCAGATTAGGATATAGCTCGCATATAATATCTGTATCCGATATGAAGTTTATTGTGCGCCAAGTGGCAAATATCAGCCCAAATGACTTTAATCTTGGCAATTCCGACTGAATTGAGTCTAGAAAAAATTTAGATATAGCTCCCATATAATTGTGCCTGACCTGAAAATGACCTGAATTTTGGCACGTTATTAGGTACCAAATAACTTATGGACCTCGAAATATCTCCCTCAATTTTTATCGAGATCGTACCAGATTAGGATATAGCACGAATATATATATCTTTATCCGATATGAAGTTTATTGTGCGCCAAATGGCTAATATCAGCCCAAATTACCTAAACCTTAGCAATTCCGACTGAATTAAGTCTAGAAAAAAGTGCATCAAATTTTGTGAAAATCGGTTAAGATACAGATATAGCTCCCATAACCATGTTTCGTTCGACTTGGGATTCTAAATCCCTCACATGCGTAATATGTACCCCACAACAATAATCTTTGGTACCAGATACACCTCTGAAATAAGTGTTTAAATTTTTGTCAATATCAATTCAGATTTGGATATAGCTCCCATATATCGATTATCCAATTTCAGGTTTTTTGTGCACCAAATGGCTAATATCTGCCGAAATTGACTGAATGATAGATCTTCCGACGGAATTCAGCCTAAAAGCAAGTGCTTCACATTTTGGTGAAAATCGGTTCGGATATAGCTATAGCTCCCACATATATGTATATATCATCCGATTTGGTGTTTGGTGTTAAAGTCAATGACATTTGATAACAGCCATCAGATACAGCACGGAAATATCTCTGTCAAATTTTATCGAGATCGGTTCAAGTTTTTATATATCATCGATATACATCATCAGCCCAAATATAACTTTTAGACCCCACAAAGAATATATGTTCTTGATCAGCATAAAATTCTATGTCGATTTAGCGAATTCCGTCCGTCTGTTTTGGTATTGAGAGTGGGCTATGTAGTTCTACGTTTTGGTATAGCCCCCATGTACCGGTGCCCCGATATTCGTTATTTTGATGATTTTTCTCTATTTTTTTTTTTTTACGTTATTCACCGAAAATATTTCAAATTTGGAATTTTAAATTCGTAATGGATACTAAAGATTATGACGGAAAATTGTCCGTGCAGGTCCACGTCTTCGTATAGCCCCCATATAAAGGTAGCCCCCAATATTCGGTATTTTGATAATTTTAGCTACATTATTCACCGGAATTGTTTCAAGTTTGGTGTTTGAAGTTCGTAATAGATACAACAGCCTATGACAGAAAATTGTCTGTGCAGGTCCACGTTTCGGTGTAGCCCCTATATTCGGTATTTTGATGATGATGATGAAGTTTCACATTTTAATATTGTAGTGGCGTATGACAAAACTTGCATATGCAGGTCCACGTCGTCATATAGAACGACGGATTTTATTTTATTTTTTTTATTATTATTTTTTTGAAAAATTCGTTTCAAATGGTGAAGGTTATTAAAATTTCGGCCCGGCCGAACTTAACGTTTTCTTTTTAATTTAATAGTATCCTTGTCGAAGTCATACCATGCACTATACAGCAATGTTATTCGGTTCATGGTTGGTATGACCTACTTCACATTAATTCCCAAAATTAACTTTATTTGTAACATATAGTCGGTCCCGCCCGATTTTTGACCTTTCCTTACTTGATTCTTTTATAATATCGGAAAAAAATGCAAAACTACAGGGTTGCCCATATTCGACGGACCCATCTGGCAACGCCATAACATTTGACAGAGATGTCACATCGCTTAATGACATACCGCGTTTGAAGCGTCAGTTCAAGCAGATTTTTACCATGAACCAATACACGCCACGCGAGCGCTCTGAAATAGTTGAAATTTACAAGAAGTCAATTGTGAAACCTCAACGTGCTTTTAAAACATTAAAAAAATGTGAGAAGTGCGCCTTCTAAGAACACCATTAAGCGTTTATACGAAAAATTTTCGACTGGTAAGGCTCTTTCTAATCCGAAGAGGCCATATAAAAGTCGACCAAGGTGATCGGCCGAGAATATCGCTGCCGTACTAGCCAGTGTTTAGAGGTCCCCAAGAACATCCCAAAAACGCCGTTCTCAGCAGTTGGGCATGGCTCGGTCCACTTTACAACGGATTATTCGCAGTGATTTGAATTTGTTCCCGTACAAAATTCAATCGACGCAAAGAACGTTGCCTGCGGACAAGCCTCGTCGATTGGAATGGGCCCGAAGGGCCCAAAGGTCCGTCGAGTATGGGCAACCCTGTAGTAAATTCCTGAAGATTTTGGAACAGAACGTTTGCCATCATAGATTCCCATAGCTTTATACAATCGCTTCTAATTTCAAACTATTCCAATGTTATTCGTCCATATGTTAGTCAATAGCGTTGTTCTCTCTTTTTTATTTTTATTTATTTTTTTTTTTTTTTTTGTATATTTCCTTTAATGTTTAGCTTTATTACCCCAAATTTTACACTATTATTGATCGATCAATATGTTCGGCCAATACATTCGCACATATCGCAGTGGCTACTTTTCATTATTGTTTACATCTGTCGAGACGTAATAAAATGAAATATTTGCATTAAATTTCGTTTGCATAAACATGGCGAGTTTTTATTGATCTATTAAATAGTTACAGCCGCTTACAATCACCCATAAAATTTGGGGTAAATATTAAAGGGGGAACAGTGGTGAATCGAATGAATTAAGATATGTGAAGAATTTTATATTCCTGTAGAATTTTATAGTAATTATATTGAGTTTATTGAAAAGTTTTAATTATAGGTATCTTAAATTTGTCATTTAGTATGCAATGCCTCGAAATATTCTTCCTGTCTTTCTGATGAAATCTCGATGGAGAAAAATATAAAGCTTGGAATTTAAACTTAAAATTTTTCGTAGATTATTTTGTGCTAAAAATTGAACATGTCGATTCACGCTTAGCTCGTATAGCTCTCATGCAACAGTTGACGCTGATTTTCGATACTTTGCAGGTTTCTGTTCCAATTTCCAATAAAATAAGATGTAGTTTTTTTCAAAATGTTTTCATTTTTATTATTACGTTTTACATAGCCTCCATATAACATTCGGTAAGTAGTGGTTGATAAATTTTTACTCAGATGTGGTTTAGGTCTGTAAAATTTTACTATTGAAATATTGAAATAACTGTACCGGCAGAATTAAGGTCCTTTGACGGTCCTTGTCAAGATATATTAACTCGAATTTTCTGTAAATTGGCAGTTTGTGTTCCCAGCTTGTAGAAAACATCATTGCATAGGACTATCCAAGCTGCGTAGGTTCAAGTTTTGGCATAGTCCCATATTACTGTACCTCCAGATATTCAATATTTCGGTGATATAAGCTGCATTTTTCAATACAAATATCACAAAGGCCAAGATCATTTGTTGACTATTTGGTTTTTTTAGTCTCCCCTAAAATATTTTCAATATAGGTACAACCCCCATATAGCATCCAAATCTTAAAGATTTTTGCAATAAGCCAAGTTTCTGAATGGAGGAGGGTATAAAAAGTTGGGCCTGACTTATGACCATATGGCTAGACAGAGTATATATCACTTGATACGTGCCTCATCGAAATAATGGTTTAAGTCTCTTTGGACATCCCCCACAAAAAGTCAACATTTTCAAAAAAATATTTTATTGCACAGAAAGAGAAAGGATAATCCAATTTTCCTCAAATTTGCGAATCCTAATATCTGCCGCAGTGCTATGTCAGGTGAAAAGTATCGCTCCACTCCATCAAGTACCTCCCACACAAAGGGTGAACATTTTCAATAATTATAACTCCTATAAATGGTGATGTAAGAGTCCGATTGCCTTCAAATTATACACATTGGAATATTTTTATTAAC